ATTCCCATCTACTGAGCCTTTCCAGTTAGGTTCATCAGGCTCAAGAGAGGTTAGAGAAGGCCTGTTCAGGATGATAGATGCGAATGCAGGAGGCAACAATTCACAGATAACAGTTTTATTCCAGCTTCCTTGCTCAGAAAGCAGGATGTTCACATTAACATCACTCTCCCAAATGGGAGCAGATTGTGAGCTACTGAGGGTGAGTTCCTCAAAAGCCTTATCTCCACACCACCAGTCCTTCCAACAATTAACAGTGGCACCATTACCAACTGTCCATTTAACCCCTTTCCTCAAGATGGCTCTAGAGTTAAGAATGCCTCTCCAGGTATGAGAGGCTTTCTTACCTCTAGAACAAGCCTGAAGACAATTATTCCTCATATACTTACACTTAAGAACCTCTTTCCAAAGACCATTCTCATGACTAATCATTTTCCAGCCAAGTTTAGACAGCAAGGCAAGATTTTGATCCTTGGCTTTCTTAACGCCAAGCCCACCATTCCTTTTCGGCTGACAGACAACATCCCAATTGACCAAGTGAATTTTCTTATTCTCTAGGGTATCACCCTAGAGAAAATTTCTATTCATTTTATCAATATCATTGCAAACCCTTTTAGGAAAAGCCACAGTCTGCATAGTATAAGCAGGAAGAGTAGAGCTAATAGATTGGATTAAAGTAGTTCTACCAGCTAGTGGTAAAGCACTAGTTTTCCACCCAGCAAGTTTCATTTGCATTTTATTTAGAATGCCATTATAGTGTCTCCAACTCACTCTACCATGAATGAGAGGAACCCCCAAATATTTTCCTAAATCAGAAGTTAAAGGAACGCCACAAAAACAACTTCAGAACTGTAATCCAGCCTTTCTCTTGCCTATTTATACTTCTGGTGTCTTTCCAAACAGGTTTAAAACATCTGGCACGTTTTCCCAGAAAAAGTCAACGCACGTGCGGGAAAGTCAATGCATGTGCGAAAAAGTCAACGCACGTGCGGGAAAGTCAATTCTCTCCAAATTCTGTCTTTTTGCCCATTTTATGCTCTGACTATGTATAACCTGATTGACATTCAACACACATAAAGTGTACAATTTGACAGTCAAGTGAAGTTAAGAGATCCTACTTAACGGCCTCATTGATGTACAATTCGGCCTTAATTACAGAGCATCAGCACAAAGGTTGCCTTCTTTATACACATGCTGCACAGTACATTCACAACCTCTCATGATAGAGTGTAAACACTTAGTGTGTTCGTAAGGCAAACAATTAGTAGTGCTGCTATTGTTTGTGGTAGATCATTTCATCCTGGGAGATAGACGTCCAAATTCTGAAAGCACCGTGGAGAGCACGAATCTGTCTTAAGGACACAGTGTCAAACACTGGACTTGATCAGAAAATAATTCGAACAAATTAAATCAAGTAAGTTATTTAATTTATTTTCAGTGTTGTTTTTATTTATTAAAATCAGATTTAAATTTTGTTTTTGTAACAAAATAAAATCTGTTTTTATTTATTTATTTTTATTTCAAGTTTGATTTTTGTAATCAAACAAATTCTCTCATTTTCTTTATTTCTTTATATTCTTGTTGTTGTTTTGTACACAACAGAATTTAATCTTTTTAAATACAGTGAAGATTGTCCTACAATGTCATTGTTCAGAAGAACATTGCTTGGCTTCAAATCACAGTGGACTATTGGTGTTGAGCATTGATGGTGAAGATAATCCAACGCACAAGCAACATCAATAGAAATATTTAATCTCTGATGAGGACTTGATTTCTTTGGTTCATTGTCCAATTCCTTTTCTCTGTTAACTGGATGCAACCACTAGTCCAGACTTCCACTTCTCATGAAATCATAAACCAGGGCCTTAAAATCATTACCTTGATAATCAACACCTGAACATGCAGTGAGTACCTTAACAAGGCTCCTATGTTTGATGTTCCTCAAGGCCTTACACTCGGCTATGAAACTTTTGGAAGCCCCATGACATTGGAGGTTGAATACCTTCACGGCAACAATTGTTGCACCATATTCAAGAGTTCCTCTATACACCGACCCAAAACTACCAACACCAATCAAATTTTCTAGAGAGAACCCACCAATAGCATTAAAGAGAGTTTGATAAGACAGTCTCAAGAGTGATTTTCTTACGCTGTGTTTGATTGGGAGATTTGAGGAGGGATTTGGAAATGGAAAAGAAAAAGTTAGGTGAAATGTGAATAAAATATACCTACATTTTACCTAATTTCACACACCCTTACCAACACCAATCAAATTTTCTAGAGAGAACCCACCAGTAGCATTGTTTGAAAAGACACTCTCAAGAGTGATTTTCTTAGTGAAACTGAAGAAAGATCTTTTTTTGTCTTTCTATACCAACAAATATATAGAATGAACAACAAAAAAGAAAGCCCTAGAAGCCCACTACATATAGAAATTGCCAGTTTTGAAGCGAGAGTTAGTCTCCTCTTTTTGGACCGTATGGAGTTGCACACAGAAAATTGCAATTCAGGAATACCTCCACAAAGTTTGCTATTTCCCTCAACTGAAATTGCACTTGCATTTGTGAAGATACCTTTTATTGGCACTGCACCCTCAAAATCATTGTTAGATAAATTCAAAATCTGCAAGAATTTAAAATTCTCAATATATTCTGGAATTCTTCCCGACAAATTGTTGCGAGAAAGATCTAACAATTGAATACCCCTCAAAGAATCCAAAGTAGAAGGAATGGTTCCTTGAAACAAGTTACCCTCCATAGATAGTATTTCCAATAATACACAACTACCAAGAGTGTCAGGGATTTCACCATATAACATGTTCTCGCCAACATTTAAGTAACCAAGGTTCTTCAAATTTCCAACTTCCACTAGAAGAGGACCTGTCAAAGAGTTGTGAGGTAGGCCCAAATTTAATAATGAGGAGAGACTAATAACTGGTTGGGGTATTGGCCCAAATTAGATAAATTCAAAATCTGCAAGAGTTTAAAAGCCTGAAGATATTCTGGAATTCTTCCCAACAAATTGTTGCGAGAGAGATCCAAAATTTGAACACTTCTCAAAGAAGTGAAAGTAGATGGAATGGTTCCTTGAAACAAGTTACCCTCCATACATAGAGTGTTTCCAACATTACATACAAGAGTACTAGGAATTTCACCAGATAACATGTTCTCAGAAATATTCAAGCAAATAAGGGTCATCAAATTTCCAACTTCCACGGGAAGAGAACCTGTCAAAGAGTTTTGAGATAGGTCCAACTCTAATAATGAGGAGAGACCTGAAAAATCTAAAAATCCCCGAAATATTAATTTGTGATTATATTTCAATTTAAAACAATAAATAACAATCCCAATCAAACAATCAAGATAAATCGACACAACGATTTAACGTGAAAAAAACCACAATTGGAGCGCCTCCAATTACGATAAAAAATCATGGGCCAAAGCCACAAAACAATACACTAAGAAGACAAAAACAGAAATTACACAAGAGTACTCTCAATTACTTAGCAAATTCACACCCGAATTGAACCAAACTTGATGTGCCTCTTTAACCACTGTCTTCACCTCGGAATTGTCTTGCCCAACATTGAATCCACAATGCTGATGTCGAATCCACGACGATGAGCTACTCTAGAACCCACTAAAGCTTCAAACCCAAATTCTCCGAAATCCACCGAAGAACAACTCTCTCTTTTATGAATAAATGAAAGCAAACAAACCCCTTGATAATGTTGGTACAAAGTTCACGGATCCATTGATCACTCTTAAATCATCAAATGGATCCTTTTAAATCATCAAGGAAACAGTCATAAAGCACCCTCCAATATAAAACACTTTGTTTTTTCTTCATCTCTTAAAATCTGGATGCCACAAACCCTAAAACGAGCAAATAACGCACGTTATAGTAAATTGGGTCGCGAAGACCGCTTGAGCGCACATTTCACCACTCGAGCATTGTGAGTAAAGGCGGTGCAAAACATGACCACTCAAGTGCAACTTTCACCGCTAAAGTGGTAAAACTTTCTTCCCAGAAGTTCAGGCACACTACAAAAGTACTGGATGATCCTTTTCTCCGCTTGAGCAGTCAAACAACTTCGAATGCATTTGCGTTGCCCCCTGGACCCCCGCGAGTTGACCGAGAAGCTCAACCCCGTACATAGTCAGCGAAGTGGCAAACATGAAAGGATCAAGATCACAAACTTCTCTACATAAGCACAATTTGGGTTGGATTCGCACCTAAACACTCATAGCCTCACTGAAACAAAAGAGTAAATAAAATTGCAACTGAAAGAAGTGTTGTCAAACAGGATTGCCAATTACAAAAATTTAACAAGACCAATAACTAGTTGGGGTAATGGCCCATTAAGGTTGTTTTGTGCAAGGCTCAGATGCAACAAATTTATGCAATTGCCTAGACTTGAAGGGAAGTTACCATGAAGATTGTTTTGACTCAAATCAAGTAAAATTAACAAATTTAAATTTCCTAGAGAGGATGGGATTAATCCCGAGAGTTCATTTTCGTTGAAAACCAACCTTTGAAGCTTCAAAATATCACATGGTATATCACCTGTAAATTGATTCTCATACAACCATAAACTTTCCAAGTTGATGAGATTTCCTATCCCAGATGGAATGCTACCTAATATCTGATTTTGATTAAGATACATGTTTTGAAGATTAGTTGACAGGTTGCCAATGGTTTCAGTCATCATTCCTCCAAAATTGTTACAGCGAAGATCAGTTTCCACTAAACTAGTGGCATTGATCAAAGAGTACAAAAAGTCCAAGTCATCACTATGACCGCTCCCAAGATTATTGAATGCAACTACAATCCACCAAAGTTTATGCAGCTTGTCCAAAGCTGGCACTCCCGTAGTAAGCTCATTCCATCCTATTTCAAGATTGAAAAGATTTGAATTATTGGAAATTGAAACTGGAATGGATCCCGTAAATTGATTATAGTCGGTACTTAACCTTCAAAACTGTGGAGCTACAAAGAGTTTCATGGCAGAGTGTGAAACTTTGAGAAATATTCGACACCGAAACTTGGTCAGGATCATAACTTCTTGTTCTAGTGTTGATTTTCAAGGAAATGAGTTTAAAGGTCCAGTTTATGAGTTCATGCCTAATGGGAGTCTAGAGGGATGGCTGCATTCAAGTCCAGAAACTAATAATGGGCAAAATGAGCACCGGAGACTCAACCTTCTAGAAAGAGTAAACATTGCCATAGATGTGGCTTGTGCACTTGATTATCTTCATCACCAATGCCATACACCGATCATTCATTGTGATTTGAAGCCAAGTAATATCCTTCTTGATAGTGAAATGGTTGCCTTTGTTGGAGCTTTTGGCCTAGCTAGATTTTTCCCAGAGCTTACCATTACTAATCAAAGCAGTTCGATTGGAATAAGAGGATCCATTGGATATGTACCTCCAGGTAACAACTTCTCTTTTCCGTTCTTTTGCTTTGACATATGCCTATTCTAGGATTAAAATTTAAAGTAAACAAAATATAAGTTAGCTATTATTGAAGGAATGTTAAATGGGTATTGATCCATCCATCTCTCAAGATGGAGAATTTGGCATGGTTACCTTAAGGCCTAGTCCATAGTCAACTGTTAGTCATAACAGTAATGGCTATGTTTCCCATTGCTAAAACTGGGAATATGTATAATGTACTGCTTTCATATTATTATTATGACATTCTCATATGCCAGATTTGATTGGTCCTTTTTTTCTTTTATATTATGTTTGTTTTTGGGTAAAACAAATTGTTAGGGGTTTTCAATGTGAATTGTTTTAATGGCAGAGTAAGGTCTTGGAAGTGAGATGTCAACTTATGGAGATGTCTACAGTTACGGGATCCAATTATTGGAGATAGTAACAGGGAAGAGACCCACTGATCGCATGTTTGAGGAAGGCCTTAATCTTCATAGCTTTGTTAGGATGGCCTTGCCTGACCATGTGATGGAGATTGCAGACCCGGTACTCCTAGAGAATGACAAAGAAGAGGCAGGAGCAACAGCAGCAGATACTGCTGCTGCTGCCAGTACTTGGGAATCAATTCAAGTGAACAATGGTGACAGAATAGTGAATGTCTAATTTCCATGCTCCATACTGGAGTGGCATGCTCTACAGAGTTGCCACAAGGTCGAATGAGCATTAGTAATATCCTCCATGAACTTCATTTGGTCAAGAAAAAAGTCCTTCAAGATGACCTTTCAACAAGATACGAAATTGAAAAGGTCTTGCTCAATATTTTTAACTTCTTTCTTCTATAGAATTACACCTATCGCTCTATTGCATTGGCTTTGATCTTCCATGATTTGTCCTTGTTAACAGGAAGCAGCAAAGATAATTTAATTGGACAATGGTGGGAGCAAGCATGGCATGTTTTCTATTGTGAGATTTCAAATTAGTTTGTCCTTTCCCAGTCAATAGAATTCATGACTATTGACCAGAATAGTATGACAATGACATTTTTCAAAATCTAATCCATTTTGATTGACTTTTTGCTTTAAGGTAATAAAATCAACACTTGTCATGTCATTTTGTAGTAAATTGATTACATTTTTTTTCATTGTATAGTGTTACTCTAAAAATATTGGCTACCATGCCCTTTTGTGGGTATTCTAAGAGATTCAATTTGATTAATGGTGATTTAAATAATTAATAATGCTTTTATGTGTTTGAACTGCATGAATAATGTTAACCCCCAAACCAATCTAGAATGAGTTTATATTTATGCCCTTAACATCTCATTTTTGCTCTTTGGTAACTAAATTACAGGACAATATGAAGCTTTATGCTTGTCAAAGCTGTGTGAAATGGTAAACACTCGGTCAAAAAGGAAGAGGATTATGCCTGTACTTTTAACTTCAAACTGGGAACCTATATGTCACAAAGTGTATACATAATTTGATTATCAGATTATTTCCTATTTAGTCCATGTGAGAATGATAATGTAATATACTTGTGTGATTTGAGTTTATTTACATTTTAATTGTTAGCCAATAATATGAGTTTGTTTGTTTCACAAAGTGTATATATATTTGAAACGAGAAAACTACTATTGAATCCATGACAATGAAATGCAAGTGTATTCAAACTGGTGTCAAGGAGTCAAGGCCGGCCTTGAGTTTTAAGGGGTCCTAGGCGAACTGTTAAGAGAGGCCCTTCTATTTGTTTCTTGCTTTCAATAAATTTAGCAAGCACACTTGATTGAGATTGAATAATTTTTTTTTACTTTTTGCTTCTTTTTTCTTTTTTCCAATCCGAAAATATACTTCCTAGGAGGAATAGCTATATAATAAATAAAAAAATCCACACAAATTCACAATAACTGATATTTGCAAATAATATGTTTTCGTAAATTAGAGCAGAACAAAAATTGGAGATTTCCATTGAAGCACCAAACCAATGGAAAAATAGCAATAAGTATAGAATTAAAATTGATTTATTGCATACCCATATAAGCACATGGACAAAACAACACTAATTAGGGCAACAACCATTTGGGGCTAATTGAGGGCAACAACTACAACAATGAAAAGCCATTATTAACAGTGGGAAGCTTCTATTTGCACACACAATATACACTTTTTGCACATCCTTCTCACTACACCTTTTGCACATCCTCTTCATTAAGTGTGTGTATAGAGTGGGTTTGGTGTGGGTAAATAGAAGCTCCCTTAACAGTGCCAAGTAACTTAAACAATTATAGCCCTAACTGATAATTAGGGCCAAACAATTATATTCTGCAATAAATTAAGGATCACAAATTATGGCAAAGAAATTAGAGAAAACAACTGTAGTCTTTCATTATTAGAATTTGATAAACAAATAAAGAGAATGAAGACAAAGAACTCACAGATTGATTTTGCCGGACCAATACATGGTTAGGGATTTGTGTTGATGGGTAAATCAAAATAGAATTGTAGTTTAAAAAAAAAGGGTAATTTATAGAATTGATCCCTCTATCTTGAGCGAAATTTTATTTTGGTCCTACTAATTTTAATTTAAATAATTTGATCTCTATACTTTGAATTTTGTTACAATGTGATCCCTCCATCATGTATTATTAACATTTTGAACCGGAAAAAAAAAAAAAAAAATCACATGCAAAGAACATATATAAATTTTGAATTTGTGATGTACATTTAAATTTGATGTAATGAGAATCACACCCAAAATAAATCCGATCAACACATTTCAAATTCTAACACTTTCTTTGAATAAGTTACATTCCTTTTCACTAAATGTACCAAACGTAGAGTTGGCTCAACCAATGTGGAAGTAAGGCTGTTATTAAACATGTAATCTCTTCCAGAAAGGGGATTATTAAGACAAAAGCATTACATTCCAATTGATTCCCTCATAAATTCATCTCTAGGCAGAACCTAGAAGAGTGTCTTTGATGAAATGCAATTTAGCTGCAACATCATTAATGTTTGTTCTTTCTCTAGGCAGTTCTGAAGAACAATTGACTCCAATTTCAAGTATCAAACTCAACCACTCCACAGTCTTTTCACTCATTATGAAGCTCTCTTCCTCTTCTCCTTCGGTCTGAAAAAGTATTGGGTCTAAAATCTCCAATACACTGCCAGGCAAAGCCTCTTTCACAAAGCTGTGGAGGCTTAAACCATCTTTAAACATTTCATCGGTGGGTCTCTTCCCAGTAAACATTTCTAACATGAGGATACCAAAACTGTAGATATCACCGTATGCCGAGACCTCACTTCCCATACCATATTCTGCAAAGGAAATGCATTTGTAAGGGCAAAAAAAAATATTGGATATAAAAGACAGAAATGCTCCATAAAAAGCCAGAGAACTGTGCACAAAAAAATAAAAATAAATAATGTGTGGCCCAAATCACCCGTGCAATTTTCTATACACCTTTTGGTGCATGAAACAATTAAGAATAAATGAAAGTATATTCACCTGGAGCAGTATAACCTATTGTTCCCCTTATGCCAACAGAGCTTGTTTCATTTGCGGACAAGTCATGGGTGGCATGGTCTGCAAGGAATTTTGCTAACCCAAAATCACCAACATGCCCTGTCATATCTTTGTCCAAAAGAATGTTGCTTGGCTTAAGATCGCAGTGGACTATTGGGGTTTGGCCCTGGTTGTGAAGATAATTCAGGGCACAAGCAACATCAATGATAATATCTAGTCTCTGAAGAAGGTTTAGCTTCTTAAACTCTTCATTTGACAAATCTTCATTGCAATTTGGATGCAACCACTCTTCAAGGCTCCCATTGACCATGAACTCATAAACCAGGGCCTTGAAGTCATGACCCTGATAATCTATTGTCGAACATGCCGTTAGCACCTTGACAAGATTCCGATGTCTAATGTTTCTTAATGCCTCACATTCAGATACAAAACTCTTCGAACCTCCATGTCGTAAAAGGTTAATTACCTTCACAGCGACAATTCTTCCATCAATAACTCCTTTGTACACAGACCCAAAACTACCAACACCGATTAAATTGAACGATGAGAAGCCATCAGTGGCTTTAAGAAGAGTTTGGTAAGACACTCTCGAGAGTAAATTTTTTGATGAATCTGAAGGAATATCTTTTCTTCTCTTTCTAAACCAGCAAAGATATAGAACACACCCCATGAGAGCTAGTCCTACAAAACCAAAGGGTATAGACAGTGATAAAGTTAAGGCACTGTTTGATCTCCTCTTTTCATCTACTTTGAAGTTGCATTTAGGTAGCTTTAATTCAGCTACGCCCCCACAGAGCTTAGTGTTTCCCACCACCGATATAGTACTTGCATTACTAAATACACCTTGTGTTGGTACTACTCCTTCAAAATTATTAAAAGATAGATTCAAATCTTGCAAGCTGAAGCTCTCCAAGTACACTGGAATTTCACCTGACAAACTATTGTTCGCGAGATCCAACTCTCTAAGGCCTCTCAAGAATCTGAAAGAAGAAGGAATGGTTCCGTTGAAAAAGTTGTTCCCCAAACACAGCGTTTCCAGGCTTGTGCAGCTGCCAAGAGTGCTCGGAATTTCACCCGAAAACAAGTTGTGCGAGACATCCAAGGAACCGAGATTTACCAAATTTCCAACTTCCACGGGAAGAGAACCACTCAATTGGTTTTGGGATAGGTCTAGATATATAGATAAGGATGAGATACAAACAACTTGTTTTGGTATGGTACCATTAAGGTTGTTTCGCTCAAGAAGCAACCATTGCAAATTGCTACAATTCCCTAGGCTTGAAGGAATGTTTCCCTGAAAATTATTGACTCCTAAAAAAAGTATACTTAACAAACTTAGATTTCTTATGGAGGATGGAATGTTACCAGACAATGAATTGTAGCTGAGCCTCAATTCCTGTAAATTTTGAAGCTTTCCAATCTCACTTGGAATGCTACCGGTGAGTTGGTTAACCTGAACATCCAAACTCTGCAAGCCAACAAGATTTACAATCCCGGCTGGAATGCTTCCGAATATCTGATTGTTGTCTAGATACAAAACTTGAAGATTACTCGAGAGATTACCGATGGACTCTGGCAACTTGCAGCCAAAATAGTTAATGTTCACGCCCAAAACCTGTAAATTGGTGGCATTGATCAAAGAAGAGATGAAGTTCAAGTCATCGGCTTCCCCCAATCCAAGTTGATTCCCTGTAAGGATTAGGCGATCGAGGTTATGGAGCCCCGCTAAATTAGGAACCTTTCCAGTAAATTTGTTTTTAGGCATTTCTAGGCGGTGGAGTTTAGATGCATTCGATATTGAAACTGGAATTGATCCAGTAAAATGGTTAAGACCAATGCCGAAGAATTCAAGATTGGGAAGAGTGATGCCCAAGTCCCTGGGAAGACTTCCCTGAATTTGGTTCATAATGACATCAAACACTATGAGAGAAGAGTGGTTGAAGAGCGAAGGAGGGATGGTGCCAGACAAGTTGTTTACGCCGAGTGCAAGCTGCTGAAGATTCTTCAGTCGACCAAAACCATCAGGAATGCTGCCATCAAAGTGGTTGTAGGCTAAAGACAATCCGCGAAGAGATGACAAATTCACAAAAGGAGAGATACTCCCTGTAAGATTGTTCTTGTATATCATTACTATCACGAGCTTTGACAAGGATCCAAGCTCCACAGGAACTTCTCCTACCAGCCCATTGTTAGAAAAATTGAGGAAAATAAGGTTAGCGCAACGAGATATATTTACAGGAATTCGGCCATCAATTGAGTTGTTGTTCAGCTGCAAAATCTGCAGCCTTGGCAAACGGCCAATCTCTGGGGGAATTTCATTGCCAAAGCTATTGTTCTGAAGCAGTAATTCCCTCAGAAAGCTTAAATTCCCAAGGTGTGGTGATATCGATCCCACCAGTTCTCGGGAATGTAAGTCCAAGGCAGTGACCCTCTGATGCCTGCGGCCACACGTAACGCCCTGCCATTGGCAGAAGTGGATAGAGTCATTCCAGGAGCTCAAAACATGCAGTGGTTCCTCAACTATTTTGGCCTTAATTGCTAGCAATGAAAGTCGGTCCGACTCGTTCCCCATTAGCCAGGAGCTGGATGTGGTAGCAGTAAAGCCGGAGTTGAGAATGCTCAAACAACAAAAGAGTACTAGATGAATATGCAAATTGTGTACTAGCCATGACATGCTCAAGCTTAAGCTTGGAAGCCCCATTGAGCAAAGAAATGTATGGCTGTGTTTTGGTGAATTATTTTTTTTTTTTGCCAAGTATATTTCATGGCCGGCTCATGAGCATGCCGGCAAAACGGTCACTTTGACCCGCTAGATTTGGACTTTAAAAAAAGAACCATTTAGAAAAAAAAAAAAATTCTTATAAAATTTAACCCAGTTTTTTTTTTTATTAGACCTCAATTAAATAGAGAGCCCAACATTAAACTCAAAAAGAAAAGAGTTAATTAGCTAAAAGTCCTGTTTACAAATGTTATGATAGCTAAAATTCTATTTAAGATTTTTTGAACCAATAAATCCTATTTAGTAAAACTAGAAATATTATCCGTTTTTCTAAAATTTTAAAACTAGAACATTATCAATTTTGCATAGTAATGTTTCAGATAATTGTTTCACTAACTGATGAAAAAATAAAAGAGCATGAGATTAAACATTTTTGTCATTCTACTTATTGGTTTGATTCAATTATACAATAAAACTGAGAATATTATCAGTTTTTTTTTTTAATTTTAAAATTGAGAATATTATCAGTTTTTTCATTTTTAAACTTTTTTTTTTCTTTTAGTTTTGCACATCAACGTTCCATATCATGCTTCTTTATAGACACAAAATTTTCAGTTTTGTTCCACAAAAAAATAATTCAATTTTTTCAAAACACACAAATTTTTTTTTTTCACTTTAAAAGTAGATCTTTTAAAGTTTTGAAAATCAAAATAAATGTCAAATCATCATCTTCTTTTATAGATAATCATAATTGATGAATAATCATTGTTTGAAGTGCAATTATGATTATTAAAAATTTAATGGGATTTGAAGGTCCAAAAAATCTAAGTTATAATTTAATGGAGTATAAATTCATAAATTAAGACTTGTATATAAATGTCCTTAAAAAATTTTAGGTGATTTTCTATGCTGAAAGTAAATGTCTAGTTTGATTTATGTTTAAATGTTTTTTAGACTTCAAATTTTTCTTCTTCTAAGTTTTAAGCCAAAGACTGAGAAGTCTTGTAGCCCTGTGAATGTGACGCCCTAGTCTTTAATAATTTTCCTCGAAGGAGCTCTCCAATTAAAGCGCTCTGAAGCCTGAGATGTAAAACACCCAGCTGAGTCGGACTGGGCCTTTTTTTTAAACTATGCCCTGTTTATTTGATTTTCACACGTTTTTGCTGTTTGGTATAACAGAAAACATTTACTGAAATTATAATGACAAGAAGAATGAAATTTTTTTAAGGAGATTTTATGTTGAAAACAAACTCAACCAAATTTCTGTGGTGAAATAAATGTCTAAACTGAATGGGTTTTTAATCCCTTGAATCATAGAGTGTTCTCAATCACTCATTAGTTCATTGCTTCTTTTTTTTTTTTTTTTTTAATTTTTAAATTACACTATTAGTCTTCATAGTTTAAATGAGATGTCGTTTTAATCTCTATAGTTTCAATTTGAACAATTTGACTCTACATTTTCAATTTGTTGCAATGTGGTCCCTCTGTCACTTACCATTAGAATTTGGATTAGAAAAAAAATCATGTGTAAAACTCCCAGACTAAAGAGACTAAAATAAAATTCAAAACATACTAGACAACTGGTGTAATATATTCATTACATCAGTGGTCTCAATAGTTTGTTTTGAATTCAATTTTGGTTCCTCTACTTTTGCATTTGACATTTTTCAATTCAAAATGTTAACTACACGTGATAGATAGATTAGTTGCAACAAAATTAAAAGTATAAAGATCAAATTGTTCAAATTAATTAAATTAAGATGACCAAAGTAAAATTTTACCCAAACTAGAGGAACTAATGGTGTATTTTATTTCTTTTTTTAGACTTCGATTATTCCAATTTGAATTGTTTGTATGTATTCTCTGCTTTAAAATTTTTGGGACAATTATATAAAAAAAAGCTCAAGGTTTGAGTTTTGTAATAAAATAAATCTTAAATTTTTAATTTTGTCAATTTAAATTCTAATCGTTTGATTTCTTTTCAATTAAACAATTTGTCTATTTTTATTAAATAAAATCGACAAAAAAAAAATAATCATTAAACTCAATGTAGGTATTCATAAAATGTCTAAAATACACTTTTCATTGAGTTTAATGATTAAAATTTCTATTTTTTTTTATCGATTTTATTTAATGGAAATAGGCAAATGGTTTAGGAGGACTTATATGTAGGTCCCAATAGATAGACTTATTATCTAATAGATCCCATGATAATTAATAGTGTTTTCCATTAAACATTATTAAAAAATGTCACTAATTGTTAATTTTCAGTAGCAGTTTGAAAATTATCACAAAAAATGTTATTAATTATAAGTTTTAACATCAGTTTAAAAAAATCGTGACAAAAAAAGTCACTAATTTTTAACTTTCAGCGAAAGTTTAAAAAATTCGACACAGAAAAACGTCACTAATTATAAGTTTTAGTAACAACTTATAAAAAAAAAAAAGAGTGATAAAAAAGTCCCTAATTGTCAATTTCTAACAACATATACAAAAAATCGTCACAAAAAATTATTTTCATCGACGATTTTATTAGAACGTAATGGGAATTAAGTTTAACTGTTAGGACCTATTGGTAATTTATCCAATGGTTAGATTGAAAAGAAATCAAAAATTTAGATAGCGTTTGATAACGTTTACGTTTTTGCTTATGTTTACAAAAATTTTATAAGCTGATTTTTGTTTATTTTTAGAAAAACATAAATTACAAACGCGTTCGATTTGAACAAAATATTTGAAAAAATTTAAAAACATAAACTAAAAAATATGCTTGTTTAGATCTAAAATATTTATATTTATTTTTTATTATTTATGACAATGGGATCATACATCTTATAATTGAAAAAAAATAATTAAAAAAATTAATTGAAAAAAAATTTAATTGAAAAAAAAATTATTAGTCAAATTTTTAAATTTCTGTTTAAAAACCAATGTAAACTCATTTTTTGAGTTTACGTTTTTTCCTCAAATTTATAAACTGAGACAATCATTTATAAACCAAAAAAAAATTATCAAACAAATTTTTATGACAGCTTTTAAAATTTTTGTAAATATAAACTGAAAACGAAATTGTTACCAAATAGGCCTAGTATAAAAATTAATAAAATTCAAAATTCAAAATTTATTTTATTATAAGACTCAAATTCTGGGAGTTTTGTGTAATTTTCTCAAAAGAATTTTAGCCAACGAAGTCAAGTATTCTAATAGAGACAATGGCCCTGTGAATGTGATGCCCAAGTCTTCAATAATTTTCCTCTTAGAAAATGCTATGAAAGGAAGGATGATGGAGACTGATGTAAAAATCACCCACTGGCCCCGACGGGGGACATTTTTAAAACCAACAGTGATGTACAAATAAAAAATTTATATAGAAAAATAATATGATAAATTTTGATTTGATCTTTTTGAAGCAAGCAATGCAGAATTTTTCACCACAAATTTAGTCAAAAACATAAATAAGGAGGGGCAAACTTCACTTTACCCCTTATGGTTTGGGTCATGTCTAGTTTACCTCTTAACGTTTGGAAATAATCACATAATTTTTTTGTAGTATGTGGATTGAAGCATACCGTTAATATTCTGTCTAACTTGACAGTAAATGTGAAATACTTGGCACACATAAGGAGGTTATACGCTTATTTTCAAATTTTGAAAGAGATAAATCACACGTGGAATAAAACATTGGGGGTTAAAATGCACTTTGTTTTTCAGATAAATGACAAAAATACAAGGATATTTTAGTCTTTTTCAATAAATTGTTAATGAACTTAACGGTGCACTTCATTAAATGTCTAGTTTGATTTCTGTTTAAATGCTTTTTAGACTTCGAATTTTTTTCTTCTAAGTTTTAAGCCAAAGACTGAGAAGTCTTGTGGCCCTGTGACTGTGACGCCCTAGTCTTTAATAATTTTCCTGGAAGGAGCTCTCCAATTAAAGCGCTCTGAAGCCTAAGATGTAAAGTGTCCGTTATTAAGATAGATTGTAAAACACCCAGCTGAGTCGGACTGGGGCATTTTTTTAAACTATCCTCTGTTTATTTGATTTTCACATGTTTTTGCTGTTTGGTATAACAGAAAACATTTATTGAAATTATAATGCAAACAAGAATGAAATTTTTTAAAGGAGATTTTATGTTGAAAACAAACGCAACCAAATTTCTTTAGTGAAGTAAATATCTGAACTGAATGTGGGGCATTTTTTTAAACTATCCTCTGTTTATTTGATTTTCACATGTTTTTGCTGTTTGGTATAACAGAAAACATTTATTGAAATTATAATGCAAACAAGAATGAAATTTTTTAAAGGAGATTTTATGTTGAAAACAAACGCAACCAAATTTCTTTGGTGAAGTAAATATCTGAACTGAATGGTTTTTTAATCCCTTGAATCATGGAGTGTTCTCAATCACTCATTAGTTGATTTTTTTTTTATTTTTTTTTAATTTTAAATTACACTATTAGTCCTTATAGTTTAAATGAGATGTCATTTGAATCTCCATTATTTTAATTTGAACAATTTAGTCTTATACTTTCAATTTGTTGTAATGCGGTCCCTCTGTCACTTACCGTTAGAATTTGGAACAGAAAAAAAAATCATATGTAAAACTAAAGAAATTAAAGTAAAATTCAAAACAAACTAGACCACCGATATAATATATTCATTACATCAGTAATCCTAATAATTTGTTTTGAATTCAATTTTGATCTCTCTAATTTTGCATGTGACACTTTTCAATTCAAAATGTTACCTGCACGTGACAGACAGATTACATTACAACAAAATTAAATTATAAAAACTAAATTGTTCAAATTAAAATTATGAAGACCAAAGTAAAATTTTACCTAAACTAAAGGGACTAGTGGTGTATTTTATTTCTTTTTTTATTTATTAAACTTCGATTATTCCAATTTCAATGGTATGTATGTATTCTCTGCTTTAAAATTTTTGGGACAATTATATAAAAAAAAAGTCGTAAGGTCTGAGTTTTATAATAAAATAAATTTTTAATTTTCAATTTTGTTAATTTAGACCCTAATTTTTTGA